TAGGTCCAGGGCCATACAGTTTGGCATAGAAATCTTCCAATATGGAATAATTTCCTCAGGGGAGTGTTTTAACGTGCCCTGCGAGTCTTTGAGGGAGGTGAAGTGTGTGGGAACGGCACAGGCGAGCTAATAATTTACCAGGTTTGTTGCCAAACTTATGGTACTGTAGGTCAAGATGGGACTGGTACACTGATTCTTGGGCTGCTGCCCATGTTTCGAAATGGTGTTTTGCATCTAGCCAGGCTTTCCTGTGTTCATGTGTGTTGGATTCCACCAAATTTTTTTTGAGCCAGTCGAAGTCGATTGCTAGCTTCTGTGTATTTAAGAGTGAGCTTTTTCTTGTAGGCGGATGTAAAAGCGATGATTTTACCGCGTAAGACCGCCTTGCCCGTTTCCCAGAACAAATTTGGGTTGGATAGATGAGCTGCGTTGGTAAGTTGGAAGTCCGCCCATGTGTCTTGGAGTTGTCTTAACAGCTCCTGATTATGTGCTAGAAAGTAGGGAAAGCGCCACGTTTTGTGTTGTTGTGTGTTATTAAGGTAATTTAGGAAAATGGAGATGGGAGAGTGGTCCAAGATAGCAATATCATGTATGTCTATGGAAGAAGTGTATTGTGTTGAGATGCGGTTGCAGAAAAGATAATTATTCTAGAAAGCGAGTGATGAACCAAAGAAAAGGTGAATTCTTTCGCCACTGGGTGGGCTAGGCACCATATGTCTGTTAATTGCATTGCTTCCGCAAAGGTAGATAAGAGGGTGTGGGTAGGATGGGACTCCAGGGATAGATGAAGGGTAAGGTCCAATGATTTTGATTTGTCTTCATGGGCATTCATGAATGAGCTGAAATCCCCTCCCACTACCAAAGGGAGATGAATATAGTCGGCCAGCCTTGAGGATAAGTCCTGAAAAAACTGTTTAGATGGTGAGTTTGGAGCATATGTGTTGGTAAGGACCAGGGATTGAGACCCTACTTTAAGGTGTACTGCTAAGAATCTGCCTGCTTCGTCAGTATTAACTGAAAGTATTTTGGGAGTGAGTCTTTTGTGTAACAGAATAAGGACTCCTGCTTTATTGTTGAGTGAGGGGGATCCTATAACGTGTCCTACCCAAAGTTTCTTCATACAAGCGAAGTCGGTTTGACCTAGATATGTTTCTTGAAGAAGTGCTAAATGTGCTCTGAGTCTACGGAGATGACGGAGTATCGCCATGCGTTTGCGTGGTGATCTCAAGCCCTTGACATTCCAGGAAAAAATGTGTAGCATTGTGTCACGTGAGTGGTGTTGTGTGCCGTGGTGATAGACTTACAGATTTGCTGAGTGAGACGGTTTAACCGCCCGTAACTACCCCATCTCTGATGAAGTATGATCGACTTCTGGGGAGGGAAACTGTCTCCAGAGAGATACCATTAGGGAAAGAGAAAAGAGAGAGAGAGCGAATATAGCATGATGGCCCAACCGGGGCCTAACTGAAAGGCAAAATAAACAGAAAACCATAACAATATGTTGGACTTCACGTATTTCTGCATGCTGTCCCTATGCTATGACCAGCGTATCCGGGTAATAGCAGAGTAAATGATCTGCAACTGGGGCTCATTAGAGTTGTTGAGAGCACAGAGGAGCGTAGCCCCCTGACCTGTTTGATCTCACCGAGGGGGGAGTGGACTCAACAAATGGAGCGGCCAAAGCGGATCTCTTGGTCAAGGCAAGGCACAGAGATAGGAAATGCATATATAAAGTATCAAGCAAACTGATATTAAAAGTAGCCACAGAGTCGGAAATGTCAACAATATCCAGTGGCAATTAGGCCTAACCATGAATTCAAATCGTGGTGATAACTAGACGCCTAGAAAAACGTATATATAACTGCGTGGATTGGATATTTCAATGTGAGGAGCTATCCATATGGCATTTGTATGACTGCGACAACTCAGGGTTGGCGACATTTGGAGGAAGCAAATTTAATGCGCTGGCGTTTCGGTGGATCTTTGCGGGGGCTTCGTTGGTCTCTAGGGCCCGCGTTTCGGGAGGGATGAAGGGGGGATGGTACCGCGTCCATGTCTGTCAAGGACTCTTGTAAATATTGGGAGGCTTCTTCTGGGTGTACAAAGGATTTTGTTTCGCCAGAGGGTGTAGTGAAGCGGAGAGTAGCCGGATAAGCCAGGGTGAATTTGTACCCCCTTTGATACAGCGTGGAACAAATTTGCTGAAAGGCCTTACGTTTGCGGGAAACCTCTTGCGGATAATCAGCAAATAGGAGTAATTTGTGGCAATCTATTTGCAGAGATCGTGAGCTGCGGAAAGAATTAAGGATGGCCATTCGGTCCGCGTAGTTGAGATATTTGACGTTCACCGAGCGCGGAGTGCGTTGATCATTTGAGGGCTGCCCTAGGCGATGTGCTCTTTCAACTTGGCATTGTGCGGATATGCCCAAAGCTCAGGGTATATGTGTGGAACATAGTTCTGGAAGTGCTCCCGATGCAAATGATTACGGAAGGCCCACAATACGCAGATTGTTTCTGCGTGAGCGGTTTTTTAAGTCATCCAATTTGTCTAGGACGGATTGGTGTGTACGATTGGTCTGGGATGTACCTGCATGTAAAGCTTGAATATCATCTTCTAAATCTGACACACGCTGTTTCCACCTCATTTAAGCATTTAGAGTGATTATTTTACCTATATCTCTTCCAATCTGTTCAATGCCAGTGGCTACAGCGTTATCCACAGCCTGTGTGATTGTGGGCAGTAAGATGGAGGCGACTGCTTGTGCAATCTTTTTCGTAAAGGTCTGTGGGACTACAAGTGCCAGGAGTAGTGTCAGGGGCAGTGAGTATAGCTGGGAGCATTGTGGCATTGTGAGCAGGGAGGGTGTTTGTACCTGGTTCAGCGTTCCTGTCAGCCTCTGTGTCTGTGTCCGTTGAGGAGCTGTGATCGGCAGCCATCTTGGCTGCAGGGGAGGGAGAGATGCATCCCTCTCCCCTCGTGGCAGGACTGGAGCCGGACAGCGTCGGCAGGAGATATCGCTCCATGCCTGGATGCTCGGGGAATGCGAGGGGGGTCAGGGGGAATCTCCTGTCAATGATTACAGGAGTCCCTGATGCAGAGTGCTGGCCTTATATGCTGGATTCCCGGGAGCCGCGGGTCTCACCACCTCACAGCATCAGCGCCGGAACCGGAAGTCAGAATAAATGTTCATAACACATGCGGTCACAACAGACAGGTATATTCAGAGATTTGGACTACAGTAGCACTGTTCAAGAGACAGGGATTCTTTTAGTTTGCATTAGGGGATTGGAGACAGTTTTAGCATCTTTCAAAATATAGTTTAATAGTGAAAAGGTAAAAATGATGTAGTCAGGATTCTCCCAGTGAGGACCTGATTACTTGAACAACAGGAGGATCCAATCACTGATATTGGGATTCTTGTCTGGATCCTCCATTATGTTTATAGAAAAAACCTAAGAGGATTGTGTTGACAAGGAGGATTTGAGGATTTTAATGAAGTCCAAATCCCAGTTTACCCTACAGGATGGTTTGTTAGTCAGAACATCCAAAAATGAGATCCAACAATGGGTTGTTATCAAATTTAATGGTCTCATGTTAAAGCATGCCCATGATGCCCATACATCTGGTTGTTGCAGTGAGAAAATCACATATGAGATCCTAATGGATTATGCCTACTGGCCTGTCAGGAATGGACTCAGCACTGGTGATGGGACTCACCTGCCGTGTGGGCTGCAGTATCAGGGCTGACCAGCGGGTGCTCTCAGCAGCCAGAAGCTCACTCCTGCAGTCAGCCAACACCTGGGGCTGATTGCAGGAGGTGTATTTAAGGAATGACCAGGCCTGTGATCAGGGCCTTGGTGTATTGTTTTCCATGAGTCCCTGTTACCAGGTCTGCCAGCCTCTTCACGTCAGGCTTTCCCACTGTACATACCCTCGGCAGACCCCTCTACCACAGTTGGGTGCACTCAGGGGCCGCGACCTGGCCGCACAGGGAAGCCATCTTGGCTTGTTTGTGGAGGATGCATCCGGAGGAGGTTGAGTACTTGTCTCTGCTAGTCTTGGAAGACAGAGTATACGGCTATCAGATTCTGAAGACGTATGCCAGGGATCAGCTGCTAGAGTGCATGCGGGTTGCTCATTCACTAGTGGATCGGGGCATGGAGTTTTCTGAAGTACAACCATTGATCCAGGTTTGTGCTGAGTTGGCTCTGTCCAGTACTCCTGAAAGCAGGGATGACTTTTTTCCCCCATTTAGTGCAGATCAAGTGGAATCACTGGTATGGTTGTTGGAGGATGATCCGGATTGCTTCCATAAGCATTATGCAGCTTGTCCATCACATGTGCTTGTGGATTGCATAAACGCAGTGCAGTCTTTGGTCAGACAGGCTATGTGTAAGCTGAGTTTTGTTCAACCGGTATTACAGATATGGTCAGATTTGTTACCCCCAGCCTCAGTCAGCTTGCAACAACCCAGTCCTGCTTCTAATCTATTTCTGCAAAGCTCTATTCCTGCATTCCCGACAGCACCTCCAGTTCCAGCCCAGTATACCCTGCTATCAACCACATGTCAGAACCCTGTTCCCACTCGCTGCAGCTATCCTGCGTTTAATCCTGTAAAGAAGCCCTCTGTAGCAACTGCTCCTTCCTCTGTTCCATCCTCCAGCTCTTCTCTGTCTGCAGCTGCTCCATCTGTTTACAGACCTGCATTTACTTACAGTGCTCCAGTAACTTAAACCAGGAAGAAGCGAAAATTCTTTCCAACCAGTACCATCCTACCAGCATCCAAACCGGTCAGCCTACTGTCTGAGGACCCGCCTTCTGTTGTCCAGCCTGATGCCCTGATGCCTGATGACCCAATCCAGCCTGATGACCCGATCCAGACCCGATCCAGCCTGATGACCCGGTGTTCGTGATCCAGCCTGATGACCCGACCCAGCCAGATGACTCAGTGCCCACTGTCGAGCTTGGTGACCCGGTGCCCGCGGTTCTGCTAGATGACTCGGTGCCCGCTGTCGTGCCAGATGACTCGGTGCCCGCTGTCGAGCTTGCTGACCCAGTGCCCGCGGTTCTGCTAGATGGCTCGGTGCCCGCTGATGTGCTCGATGACTCGGTGCCCGCTGACTTGCCCGGTGGCTCGGTGCCCGCGGTCGTGCCAGATGACTCGGTGCCCGCTGTCGAGCTTGGTGACCCGGTGCCCGCGGTTCTGCTAGATGGCTCGGTGCCCGCTGACGTGCCCGATGACTCGATGCCCGCTGACTTGCCCGGTGACTCGGTGCCCGCTGTCGTGCCAGATGACTCGGTGCCCGCTATCCTGCCAGATGACTCGGTGCCCGCTGTCCTGACAGATGACTCGGTGCCCGCTCTCGTGCCTCTGCCCGCTGCGCAGCCTGACGTGCCTCTGCCCGCTGCACAGCCTGACGTGCCGCTGCCCGCTGCGCAGCCCGATGTGCCTCTGCTTGCTGCACAGCATGATGTGCCAGCCCCTGATGTCCAGCTAAACTGGCAAATAATGGATTCCCAGCCTGCTCTTGGAAATCCTGTGTCCAGCGACCTGCCTTCCTGGATTCCCCTACATAAAGAGAAGTCTGCCAGCAGGAAACCCAGCCAGCCGGTTGACTCCGGCAGTAAGATACCCAGCCAGTTACCTGACCCGGGCGGTGGAACATTTTGCCCACTAAGGACTGTTTGGAGCGTCCTGAGGCCGCTCTTTGGGGGCGGGTACTGTCAGGAATGGACTCAGCACTGGTGGTGGGACTCACCTGCCGTGTGGGCTGCAGTACCAGGGCTGACCAGCGGGTGCTCTCAGCAGCCAGAAGCTCACTCCTGCAGTCAGCCAACACCTGGGGCTGATTGCAGGAGGTGTATTTAAGGAATGACCAGGCCTGTGATCAGGGCCTTGGTGTATTGTTTCCCATGAGTCCCTGTTATCAGGTCTGCCAGCCTCTTCACGTCAGGCTTTCCCACCCATGGTACATGCCCTCGGCGGACCCCTCTACCACAGTTGGGTGCACTCAGGGGCCGCGACCTGGTCTCAGTCCTGTGCCAAGTCCATCCCCACCATCAGGGGCTCTGGTAAAAAGGCAGAATGGGGCTTAGACTCCGCGCCCTGGGGAATCCCGTTCTGTGGGTACTAGAGATCCCACCGGGCGGTGCCTGACAGTACCTCATGGCCTGCCTGACCATTCCACCTCTCCAGCCCTGACTACGCCAGTGTTCCTGAAGCCTGCTACTTCCCTGTGTCAGTCCACACATTTCTGGTCATACCCGGATCCCTAACATGGCCACACATGCTTAGGGATATTCAGACTTCAAGTCAAGGGTGCTTACTATGTCCCCAATTTCAACCTACTGTGCCCACTCATCGTGCACCTCACAAGAAAAGAGGGATGGTAATGCCATGGTCAGACCTCCAAACTGATTCCATCAGTCCTGTTTACTAGTGAGGTTATGGCCAAAGTATAGAAGATACTAGGGGTCAAAAGGAAATTACATATTGTGTATAGAGCAGCCTCTAGTGGTAGTGTGGAACGGTGCAACCTAACCACCATCAAAATACTCAAAAAGTTTGTAAAAGAAACAGGTAAGGAATGGGATTGTAAATTACCATTGGTTCTGATTGCATTAAGGCAACACAGAAAAAGTGCTACTAAAATGTAACCATTTGAACTTATGACTGATAAAAAAAATGGTTTTACCCCAACATCTGTTTATGCCATACATCTGATCAGAATCTAATCAATGCTGTCATCACACATCAGTACATAGAGAATCTAAGAAAACACTTGAAATATGCTTTTGCTCAAAATAATCTTGAGAAAGCTGCGATTAGCAATAACACTTACTATGATTTAAAAAGACAACCAAGAAGGAGTATGAAATGAATGACAGTCTCTCTTTATAACTTTGCCAGAGATCAGGTTAAAGAGAAGAAATTCCTCCCCTCATGGAAGGGTCATTATGTCATCATCGACAAGATTTCGCCGATGGCCTACAAAATCCAAATCCCTAAAACTGGTGAAATCACTTAGAGATGGGTGCATATTAACCAGTTACGAGCCTGCCATCCCAGATCTCAATTACAATTACTAGAAGACTGACCATACACTTCCTAGGTGGAGGTTCATGAGATCCAAACTGCAAATGAAGTTAATGAAAAATGTATTGAGTCCATTTTACTTTACAGGGACTTAAAATCCATGAGCCGGTGGGTAAACACCAAGAAGCCGAAGTGTCCAAGAGGTCTGAAAAAAAGAGGGCCGTGTGGAGGATCCAGGGGTTTCACCTGATGGCAGAACTACAAAGACAACCCGACAAGACTGCCAGAACCAAAAGCGCCTGGAGCTATTCTTCCCACGGATGGATGACAAACCTTGGACGTATACTTCAAGCACTGAGCATTATCTTCCCGGAGGAACCACAGAAACCTGCAGGTGTCCAAATGTTGGAATATAAGAGTTTTGAAAAAAACTCTAATAGTATTCCTGTATTTGTAGGTGGTTGTGGGAAGAAATCCTTTTCAAAGCCAGTTACGAAAAAGCAGTGTGACTTTATTTAATCACACACTAAAAAGATACAAAGTCAATATAAATGTAGCAAATTCAAATACAAAAAGATATATAGCTTAAAATGAAATAAAAATAAAGAATATAAGTTGTTTGTTCCTTGAATATAAGAAGAAATGTAGTTCCTTTGTTCAAGCATGCCATGTGCTCCTTTGTTCCCTTAGAAAGGAGCTTGGCCTAGAACCATGTGCTTCTTCTTTGTGTAAGAGTTTGTGAGAATGTGTCTGTGTGTGTGTGAGTCTCCTTTGTAAGAAGAAGCGACTCCTTTTCTAAGCCAACATGTGCTTAACCATTTGCTGCCTGCCCTATGGCCGAATGGCGGCCGACAAATGTCATCAGCGTTCCGGGTGGACGCCATATGGCGTCCTCCCGCACATGCGCAGATTGCGCTCCTGCAGAGCCGCGCAGCGGTGCAATCTGTCACCAGCCGTGTACCACAGACACGGCCGATGACAGATCTGAGTATCTGCCCCCGTTGCCGGTACCATGTGACCTGCTGTGACCAATCACAGCAGGTCACATGACAGTTGTATACAATGAATGGCTTCATTCATGCCATCCATTGTATACTAGTATCTAGCTGTGGATGGCCAAATCACAGCGAAGCGCAAAAAAAAAAAAAAAACCCCTGTCAGGGACCACGGCTCCTTGGTCCGCGATCGCGGCCCCGTCCCTCGCGCATGCGCAGTGGCGGCGGATCGCGCCGGGACACAGGCACTAGGTCCCGGCGAGCCGCGGCTGACAGGACGCCGCGCATGCGCAGTAGGAGCCGCGGGCGTGCCTCAGGCGTCCAATGACAGCCGGGGGCGCGTCCTAGCCGGCCAATGACAGTGCAGGGCGCACTATTTAAAGATGCCCTGCACTGTCACAGATTGCCGCAAGGTCTTCCTGTGATCCTGAGTTCCTGCACCTATCTTGTGACCCTGATTGACCCTGACTATTCTGCCTGCTCCTGCGTTTGACCCGGATTGTCCTGACTACTCTGCCTGCTCCTGCGTTTGACCCGGATTGTCCTGACTATTCTGCCTGCTCCTGCGTTTGACCCGGATTGCCCTGACCATTCTACGGATTGATTGACTTCCCTGCTGACCCTGCGTGTGACCCGACTACTCTCGCCTACCGATTCTGTACCCCGCTTACCCTCACGGGCCCACGATCCGTTACTACCCTGCTGGGGCCGCCATCCTCTTCATATCTGGCTCTCCCGGTACCTGTCCCCAAGGGTCTCCTCAGCCACTGGCGGGCCTGCTCGGAGGTCGTGACCTGGCCCGGGACTGTTTCAAGTCCATCCCCACCATCAGGGGTTCTGGTGAAAGCACAGCCCGGGCTTAGACACCACGCTCTGAGTAGGTCTGTCAGTTGGCAGCCTGAGGCACCACCTGGCGGATCATAACAGTACCTTGCGGCCATGACAGAGCCAGGAAGTGGACCGGCGTCCCTAGAGGATATTTGTCAGCACCTGGCCACCTTGACCCAGGCTTTTCAGAACTTCCACAGTCGCTGCGCCCGACTGGAGGACCGCATGGAGTCAATAGCCCCCCTGACTCCCCCTGCTCAGAGTCCTCCACCTGCAGGACCTCCCGCTAACCCGGTATCCGGAGCGGTTGCCACATCCCTAGCTCCTGAACCCCGCGTTCCTCTGCCGGAACGATTCCGTGGTGATCGGAGCCGCTTCCGAGCCTTCCGGAACGCCTGCACCCTATACTTTGACTTACAACCCCGCACGTTCACCACTGAGACCGTCAAGGTGGGGTTTATAGTCTCCCTCCTTCAGGATGAGCCCCAGGATTGGGCTCACCGTCTGATGGAGAAGCACGACCCCCATCTTGACTCCGTGACCGAGTTCTTTCGGGCCATGGCCGTCTTGTATGACGACCCTCAGCGAGCTGCTTCCGCTGAGCGACTCTATACTCCCTGCGGCAGGGCCGCCGGACAGCCGAAGAATACGCGTCCGATTTTAGGCGTTGCATGGGCGACACCAGATGGAACGATGCGGCCTGATGTCACCAGTTCCGCATCGGGCTGTCTGAGCCTCTCAAGGACGAACTAGCGCGAGTAGGCCTACCTGACTCCCTGGAAAAACTGATTGAGTTGGCCATTCAAATTGACCGTAGACTAAGGGAACGTCGGCTGGAAAGGAGCAGTCAGGGTCAAAGGGTGGCATGGATTCCTTCCAGAGATACAGCTCCAACCCCAGGGAACCATCCCGCGAAGCACGGACACAGGGGACCACCCGGAACCCATGCAGCTGGGATTGGCCCGCTCTCACTTATCGGTCGAGGAACGTCAAAGGAGACTATCACAGAACCTATGTCTGTACTGCGGGGAAGCTGGTCATCAGGTGCGCTCCTGTCCTGCTAAAATGAGTAAGTCCACGCCCGTTTCTTTTACTCTACCCGCAGGAAGGGATGATCAGTCGAGTTACCTGGCCATTCCTGTGTCTTTACAGCTCCCCGGAGGAACATTGTCGGTGACCGCAATCGTTGACTCAGGAGCCTGTAGTTGCTTCATCGATCTGACTTTTGCCCACCGGCAAAAAATCCCTCTCCAGACCAAAGAAAGGGGGTTCAACATCTTCTTGGCAGATGGGTCTCGTATAAAATCAGGGGTGGTGGACCAGGAGACACCACCCATTTTCACCACAATGACAGACCATCACCAGGAGTTTCCTCCGTTTGGATGCCATCGCATCCCCCCTTTTTCCAGTCATTCTGGGCCTCCCTTGGCTGAGGGCCCATAACCCCCAGATTGACTGGGAAAAGGGAACAGTTCAATTTTGCTCACCCTATTGTTTAAGTCACTGCCACGTCACAGGATCCGTGGTTCCCCGGTTCCTCCTGTGCTTGGATGGTGACACCGATCTATCCCAGGTTATTCCCCCGGCCTACCATGACTTCTTAGACGT